GGTAGGTAGGAAGGTAGGTAGGTAGGTAGGTAGGTAGGTAGGTAGGTAGGTAGGTAGGTAGGTAGGTAGGTAGGTAGGCAGGGAGGGAGGTAGGTAGGTAGGTAGGTAGGTAGGTAGGTCGGTAGGTAGGTTAGATAGATAAATAAATAGATGGATAGATAAATAGAAAACTTCCGCAAGTACAACGTTAAAAGGGAACAAAGCCCACTCAGCAAGCTGGATCTCAAGCTGGGGCGGGGACTGGATCTTGTCGCCGAAGCATTTGAAGCAAGTGGCCGAGTAGTGCTCGAAATCGTCAATCACCTGGCCATGTCTCCCGTATCTGCCAACATCTGGGAGGCAAGCATAACAGATCATCTGCACCGCTAGAACTCGCATACTTGATCAAACACCTCTCAGCACGACAACAAAAACATACAAAAGCCCTCTGCCCTTCTAAACCTTTTTAGTGCGCTCCGACTGGCCCCCACCTGACGACTGAGCCAACCGCCATACTCATCCTCCAGGCACTGGGGGAGGTCCCAGTGATAGATGGTAGCCAGGGGCCTGTCACGCCCATTAAACTCCACCACGGAAGCAGCTTGCGCTAGTGACGTGCTAGGAGGGGCTGGTGGCAGGTGCCGTGGAGCAGCCTGAGATTCCTAGAATCTAAAGGTCCTAGAGCACACCAACAGGCCAAAGACTTTGCCATTCGACTTGAACCGCGCTAAGATCAATGAGCGTTGAGGGCGAGTGGCTTGATGTTGTTCTTCAAGAGCTCGTCCAACAGGCCGCGGTAGAACTTGATGGCCTACCAGGGTGTACAGGATTACATAGGTTGCTGGCGCCTGACTATCACAGACAACTACAGGTAGTACCACTAGTCCCTACATCCTTATTGCAATCGTAGAATAGTCGACACCGGACTCACGTAACCCTAAACCCTAAACCCTAAACCCTAATAAAGGCACCCATAGGAGGTTTGGGCTTTTGAATTCCGGTCGGGCCATGTTCAACCCCGCAATTACTCACACAACCCTGCAATGCCCTCTACTTCTCGCCCCCCTCAAATCCCTAAACCCTAAGCCCTACACTCTGAACCCTGAACATCCTTACACCCTAAACTTTAGGCCCTAAACTCTAAACCCGGAGCCCTAAACCCTACACTCTAAACCCTGACCCCTAAACGCTGAACTCTAAGCCCTGAACATCCCAAACACCTAAACCCAATAGCCCTAAACCCTGAACCCTAAACCCAAACCCCTAAACCATAAACTCTAAACCCTGAACATCCCCAGACCCAAACCCCTGCGCCCTAGATCCTAGACCCTAAACTCTAAACACTAAGCCCTAAACCCTAAGCTCTAAACCTAAACCCTGAACCCTAAACCCCAAACCCTAAGCTCTAAACCCTGAGCCCTAAACCCTGAACCCTAAACTCTAAACTCTAAACTCCAAACCCCAAGCCCTAAACCCTAAAAACCCTAAACCTTAAACCCCAA